GTGGCTTTGGGTGTGCGGGCATCTCTCTGCCCCTTGGAGCATCACCCTTTACCTCAGCCAAGGGGAAGTGGCAAGAAATATTTACAGATCTCCTGGTTTTAATTGTGCACGGGGCGAGCGGTGACCTTGTGCTGTGCAAGCATCACGCTGCCCAGACCAGGGTGAGAAGTGTCTCTTGTGTTGATGAGGGTTGTCTTGTAAGGAGCACTTCTCTGTAATTAAGCCAACAGTGGTTAAGTATTTTTTTCCTTTTTTTCCCCACAGCCCTGTTAATTACCTTCTGTTCAGCGCATTTTCTATCTGTCTAATAAGGAGCTCCAGAGGCGCTGCGTTCGGGACGTGTTGCCATAGGGATGCTGTAAGGCAGGAGCAGTGATCACAGCAGATTTGCCATAGTTTAAGTGCAGTCCACAGCCATCACTGAGCGGCCCGGCGAGGGGCTGCAGGCGGGTGCCATGCTTGTGCCCACTGCGCCACCGTCCGGGGATGGTCTCAGCCCCGGGGTGAGCTTGGGGTCCGCGGGGTGCCCTGCCACGGGACAGGGGTGGCACAGGGCTGTCCATCCCCAGGCTGGCCGTGCACATGTGTCCCGCAAGGCCGAGCACCGGGACTGAGCTAACGATGCCGGTCCTCCGAAACCCCTCAGTAATTAATCTGTACTGTACATTTCCCCTGGAAACAAACTAATCGGGAGGCATGAGCGATTCCAACAACATACATATATAATTGAGATAATAGTTCTGCATAAATAACATCTGTGAGCAGCAGCTGTTCCCACCTGTGCCGAGGGAGAAGGGGAAGGTGAGCTCGGCCTGACGTGGCTGCCGGAATGTCCGTGCCCGTGCCCATGCCTGTACCACCGACCTGGATGACCAGGGCAGGGTATGGCCATGGCCGGGGCAGGCATCGGGAATGGCCATTTTCGGCACTCGTGAGCTCTCTTAAACATTATTGAGCTAATGCTGTAATGCTACACTTAACAATTAATCCCTCAGTATTTCCCAAATCCGGCTTCGGGGCTGGAGATGATGCAGAGCCCCTGCTTTGCTCTTTCCCAGCCCCTGGTCCTCTTAACGGGGCTGGGCCCTGCTCAGCGCCGGAGCTTGCTGCAGTGGGCTGATGCTGAGGGACCCCTTCCACGTGCTGATCCGAGGGACCAAGTGGCAATGCCGGGGCGCTCGCTCTGCCCGGCGAGCGTGGCTGTCCCTGTGGCGTCCAGCCACCTCTTGCTAGGGGAATAACGCCTTGTTCCCCGAGCAGCCTGGTCCCCGCAGCGAGGCGGGCTCGTGCAGGAGGTTGCTTTCTCTTGCCTGTGGCTGCAGTACCATACAGTCTGTCCCCGGCTCCTTCCCAGCTCCCTCGGTGGGTGGCCTCTGCCCGGCTGCCTCATGCTTCGGAGAAGGAGAGCAGAAAGCCTTAATATTGGGAATATTGAGCCTTTGCTGTGCCGCCAACACTGAGACTCTGCATGTGTTAAAAAGGCCTCATGATTATGCTGTCCTTTAAATGTGAACGATTTCTAATGGCATTCACGACAACTTTCTCAAAAGCCAATACATCCTACCACCAGCCCACAAACCTCCACAAGAATAAAAACTTTGCTAAAATGCTACATTTCCGTTAATCAAAATCCATATGGCTAGAAATATAGTATTGTTTCTTAATAAGGCTGAAGCATCCATTTTAAGCAGGTATTTAACAGATGGTGTAGCACAGCAAACTAATGTTGTTCAGAAGTTCATACATTATACATTTCTGAGGGAGATTTCAATTTATTCTTCCCAAGTGGGAAAATTCCATTACACGAAGTGAAATGGAAGCTGGTATTTAATGAGAGGTCCTGGAGATGTGTTTCTGATTAAACTATCTGGAGTTTTCGTGTAATCGTGGCAGGGGAAAGGCCAGTCCCAGGGGCTGGTCGTGGACAGGGTTGCTTCTGGAAGAGCCTGAAGCTGGGCAGGTGGAAAAGCCCTTGGCCATAAAACCAGCAGTCAGTCAGATTGGCATCTTTAACGTCTCCCAGCAGCTATCGCTCAGGTCGTCTCAGTAACGGCTGCCTGAGCTTTATGCAAACCATAAAGGCTATTTTTCAGCTGGTGGAAGAAAGGGGAACACGGTGCGTGTCGCTGTGAGAGTGGCTCTGCAGATATATGAATAGACGGACTAGACAATCCATCAACACGGGCTGGGTTTGGACACAGGAACATCATTTTAAATAACAGTTTTGCACGATTCAAACTGCTAAATGTCTCCGTGCCAGAGCTTTATACTTCCCACGGTGAGCAGCTTCTGGCTGGCACTGTAGCTGAAGACCCAACAATGTTCAGGGTTATTTCTTCCCATCCGTTCCTTGGTTCATGTAGGGGTGGCAGAAGGGCTCAGAGTTGGAAATGGTGGTCCCAAGGAGGCAGAGACCAGCCACTGCCCCATCCTCAGCGGTGGGACGACGGCACCTCGGGGCAGATGCGTGTTTGCTTCCAGAGGTTTTGCTGAAGTTGCTGGTGGGAGCTGTCGGCGTTGTGCCTTGTGGCAGTGGAGAACATGTTCTCTGCCTGATTTTCTCACTGAGGGAGTTAAAAATAGGGGATGCAATTTAGGAAGGATGGTAGAGGCTGAAGATCAGAACCCTCTGTTTCCACATGCCCCAGAAAGGCCACTGCTCTGGCCCTGGGATGGAGGGGGAAAAGGTTTCTGTTGCTGCTGGCTGCAGTGGCAGTGTTTGGGTGGCCAGCCCTTGGGGCGCAGTGTGCTGCGTCCCCCCCCCGCTGTGCACAGGGCTCTCCCTTGCAGCGGGCAGGTGGCGAGGAAGGTGGCCGGTGGGCTGGTGCCGTGCGGCAGGGCTGGGAAACGGCTGTTCAGAGATCGCACTGTGCCAGGTATATAAAAAGAATCATTGACTTTAAGGGAAAAACGACTTCCATTTCCTCTGCAGATTAGGCACTGAGGAAGCAAATCACCTGCTCGGCTTTTCCAAGTAGGTCTCAATCACTCCAAACAGTTGAGGGAAATGAGCCGAGGATTGCTCCAGTTGCAGTAATTTGTAATCCCCCCTTTTTTGAGGGAGAGAGTACAGAAAGATGAGTAAACCCTGAGAAAATAGCCTAAAATGCTCAAACTCTCACTGTGGTGCACAGCGGCTCCCATTGCCCCCGGGAGCTCTGCATTCTCTGCAGGGGAACGGGGACCGGGCACGGGAAATGAGCAGCAAGCAGAGGGGTTTAGTTTTCTTTGTTTTCTTTGTCATAAAGAAAAGAAAGAAACCCAAGTGAGCAAGGGAAGGAACTGGATGTGCAGGTACAGCCTATGTAAACTCCTCTGTCCTGGCGGTGTGAGTTTTTGGGATGACACTGCATCTTCCAGATATTTGCAGCCCATTTAAGATCATTGTAGCCTTAATGGCTGAGCTATAAAAACTGAGAGCAAATTAGCATTTATAAACGTGATATTTCATGTGTATTTGCAAATGCAATTTATGCCATATGAAAAGCCCATTTGCAAACTCCGAATCATGAATTGCTCTAATCAGGAATTACATGTAATTCACATAATTTTGCAAATTAATGATCCCAGCTTTACCTCACCACGGCAGTGCCAAGGCAGAGGGTGGGTATGCAGATTGAGGGGCTTACTTCAGTGCTCAGCAGGACGGTCAGTGGTGTTAGGATCCACAGTTAGGTGTGCTCGGAGCTGCCAAGGAAGCCCTTTTCACTGTAAACTGGGAGCAGACGGGCTGAAAAGCAGCACAGATTTTAAAAGGTCGAGTTTCCATGTGCATTAGCAGGGGAAAATGCTCTGGGACTGAAATGTAAATAGACGTGACTGTGCGGCAAGGGGAACAGCATAATCAGCACGTGGTTTCTGCAGGCACCGAGTGCTCCTTTAATTATGATCTCCCTCAATTCTTCCCAGTTGGAAGAGAGCAAAGCAAAGTGCGCGGAGGCCCAGAGGTCCCAGCAGACGGCGGCCGTGGAGCTGGAGAACTTGCACACGGAGCTGGAGACCCTCAACAGAAACAAGACCCTGGTGCGGAGACACAGCCGGGGCTGGGGAGGTGGGAGGGCAGTGGCGCAGTCCTACCTCCTCATGTTTGATAGCAATAATCAGCTTTTATACTAAATCAGCAATAATCAGCATATTTACTAAATCACCCAGCCTCTTTGGGAACAACAGCCCCCGAGTGGCTTAATGGATGGATAAGGGCGCAGCAATGGATCGTAAAAGGGTGCAGCATCCCACAGTCCCCCGCTGCAGATATGCAGGAGCTCCCTTTGCTTCTCCCGGTGCAAGCAAAGGTTGGAGGCTGGCGGCAGCGTGTCCCAGAGGATGCCGCCATCCGGGCAGTGCTGTGCGGTGGGTCCCCTGTGGGATTCACAACCCACTCGGCCACGTGCAACAGTCCCCTGCTGCAGATATGCAGGACCTCCCTTTGCTGCTCCCGGTGCAAGCACAGGGTTGGAGGCTGGCGGCAGCGTGTCCCAGAGGATGCCGCCGTCTGGGCAGTGCTGTGCAGTGGGTCCCCTGTGGGATTCACAACCCACTGGCCCCGTGGGTCCTCCCGCAGGTGGATGAGCAGCTGTACCAGCTGCAGCACGAGAGAGCCGACCTCCTGAAACGCATCGATGAGGACCAGGAAGACCTGAACGAGCTCATGGCAAAGCACAAGGCTCTGATCGCCCAGGTAGGAGCCAGGGCAGTGGCAGCTGGGCAGCATCCCCCACCCCGGGAGGGCGCTTGGAAAATCCTGCAGCCTGGCTGAGAGCAAACAGCAGTCCCCGTCAATGCACAGCAGCTTGGGGACCCCAGGAAGCAGATGCTGTGATGAGAGGAAGGAATGGCTCATGGCTCTGTCTCCTCTCGCCCGTAGTTTTGAGTCTTCTTTCAAGAGGTCTCTTGGCTTTTGTTTCAATAGTTGGGAAATCCTATAGCATCCCTGTTTGGATCCTTTTGTATTCTTTCTTTCACTGTTTTCTCACGCAGAGCTTAAAAAATGCTGACAGACAGCCCTGGGGCTTTCTGCGCAATATCCAGACTAAGGCAGGCTCTCCCAAAGGATTGTACCTGGAGCTGAGGGACCCCAAAGCTCCCAGTAGAGCAGGGGTAGGCTGGCAAGACTGACAATTCACAGTCTGGTGCTCCTTGCAGTGGTGTTACGGAGGCGGGAGTCTGTATCTGAAAGGACCCTGAGGACAGAAATGACCCTGACAACATGGTTTCTGTCCTGATCTACAAATATTTGTTCAAAAAATTAGGAAAGTTGCATTGAGTCAGGAGAATTAAGCTCCTTCAGTCCAGTGCAGGAGCGGCTTGCTGGAGGTGCAGGCACAAGCCAGCCTTCGGCACCACACTCCTTGTAGCACGTGCCCGCTGCTCCAAGCCCTCGGGTCTGCTCCCACTGCTGGGCTTTCTCCTTCCGCAGTCAGCAACGGATATCGCTCAGATCCGGGAGCTGCAGACACAGGTGGAGGATGTGAAGAAAGAAAAGCAGAGCCTTCAGGAGAAGGTAATTACTCCCTAGCCCATTGCACCCAGAGCTGAGGAGTGAGAGCCATCTGGCCGTCCTCTGACGTCTCTGTGCCCGGTGCATCACCGGTGCCAGTGTGGATCAGTGTGCCATCACTGTGCCCGGTGCCAGTCGTGGATGCCGTGTTCTTGTTTGAAATCAGATCAAGTCTCTACCCTGGTGGTACAAAGCCATTTCTCCTTTGTAACATGGTCAGGTTCTTCTCCTCTTCGTAATGTGCTGTGCGTGCCCCCGAGAGCAGCACGGTGCAGAAGCCGCTGTTTGCCTGCTGCACGCCCGCAGTCCTGACCCTATGGGCAGGACGGGGCCGGGATGGGCTGTGGGGCTCTGCCAACAATGGCTTTGGGCTGGAGAAAGCTTTCCCTGGCAAGGCTCTCGGGATGGAGAGCCCCACTTCCCCCTCTTCCCTTCCCGAGCTGCTGGTGCCATGGCAGGAGCTGCCCCGTGGGGCTGAGCGAGCTCGGCATGGGGCTGACCCTGGGATGGGGCTGACGCCGGGGTGGGTGCCGGCAGGTGCTGCTCTGCCTCGCCTCTGTGGCTGCACCAGCCCTCCTGGGGTGCATGGATTTAATTTTAAACACATGAGTAATCCCATTAACTTAAGTGCTTTATTGGAGCGTAGCTAAGCTGCCCAGGAATCAGAAGCAGGACTCGCTCCCTCTGAGGTGGAGCGGGTGGTGTTTTAGAGATAGACCAGATAAAAGAAGACAAATTCTTGTACTTCTAGGTCAAATAAATACAAAATCTGAACCAAACTTGTACTGGGATTGCTAAAAGGGCAGTTTGCTTTGGAGATCTTGCTGTAACGGCTGAAGAAAAAACTTGGTGCAGGCAGCTTTCCACACAGGGGTAAACTGGGAATTTTTATGCCTGCTGTCCTCAAAGGGTTTGCTGAGAAGAGAAAAGCAAAAGAGACCCAGACACGCGTTGTCTTGCTGGCACGTTTTTCATTCAAAAATACCTGTTAGTGTCATGCTTTTATTGTGTGGTATTAACAGCAGGGAGTCCTTCAGGAAGCCAAAGGCAATGCTTTTCCATAGTGCCTGGCAGTCTAAGCCAGGTCCTGCACGTTCACTTTGTCTCAGGAGCCATGAGAGGTCCTCGGTGCATGTCACTCCAAGGAGAGGGACTGGTGGGGGATCTGGGAAAGGGACCGGGAGGTGTTTGCATGGGTCAGGGGCTGGAGAGGTGCTAACACAGCCCGTCCTCACCCAGCTGCAGGCAGCGCAGGCAAGAGCGGTGCACCTGGAGCAGTGCCCGGCTGAGCGCTCCATCGTCAGCCGGCAAGAAGCCCACATCCGCGACCTGGAGAGCCAGCTGGACTTCCAGGCTGTGCAGATGAAGCGCTTTGAGGTACCACATCTTCACTGCTTGCGGAGAGGATGCAGAGCCCCGGGGAGATGCAGCTTGCTTGCAAAAGGCGGGCGCAGCGATGCGACTGCCTCAGCTTTGGGGAGAAGAAGCACCTGGGAAGGGGTGGGGAGGGACAGGTGGGGTTTTTGGCCAGCTCTCCTGTGCTTGTGGACAGTCCATATACTTCATGCTGCTGCCATTATCTGTACATGCTTCACTGTGGTGTTTACTGAAAGTCAACAGTGGGCCCAGTGCTATAAACACCTGGAGGTATATACAGTCCCTGCCTCTGGACACGGAGCATGGTGTGCGCTGACCGCTCAGTACATCCATCACAGCACCCTTCCGACAGGCATCCCTCTGCTCTGGCATCATCCAGAAGTCAGGACATCAGGCTTGATCACAATATTTCACTGTCCCCATTAATCAGCACGTCTACTGGCACCCTGAGATATGTTTTTACTGTCACTTTTCCCGAGTCGTGCTGCCCGAACGAGCCCAGCCCAGGGGCCAAGGAAAATGATCTTGTGCCCCCAAAGCAGCAGCCGGCTCCGTGGGAGCCCCGGGGGATGCGGTGTGGCCCTGGGAGGTGGCGCTGCCTGTTGTGGTGGGTGCAGAGCTGGGCGCAGGGACGGGCTGGGGTCACTGGGGTCTGCACCCACTGCAGGCAGCTGCTGCCACTTGCAAGGTTTCAGGGTGATGCTTGATAATGATGATAATAATAGTGACTGGCTCTGTGGCGCGGGGCGGGGAGGGAGCGCTCTCCACATCGCTTGATGCTTGTGGAGAGCTTTGTAACTCGTCACCTCCATCTCCCTTGCTTCACCTTGCACCCTCCTCCCCAGGTGCTGGTGCTGCGCTTGCGAGACAGCATCATAAAGATGGGCGAGGAGCTGGAGAAGGCGGCTGAGTCGGAGGCGCGGGAGAAGGAGACCACCAGGTACTACCAGAGGAGGATGGAGGAGATGAAGGCTGACATGGATGAGCTGGTGCAGAGGGAAGTGGAGTCCAGCCGCCGGCGCGTGGAGCTGGTAAGGGGGTGCTGCCCCCGCGGGCTCGCGTGGCCCCAGGTCCATGGCGGGGGTTTGCTGCTGCTGCAGGTTACCTCTCCGTAACCTGCAGATTGGCCTGAAGGTCCCAGAAAAGTCATTTTCTGCGTGGTGCTTTGTGTGCTGTGTGTTTGGAGATGGAGCTGGCCAATTTGCTGTTAGCTGGCCCCCACGCAGGTCAGCTGTGTTTCCCGGGCTGCTCCCCCACGGCTGCCCTGGGTCTTGCTAATGTCAGAGTGTCAGGCTGGGCTTTGGTGAGCGGAGCCAGGGAGCACTTGGAGGAGCAGTATCAGGACAAGCACGAGCGCCTTTGCGAATTGCTTTGCATCCCTCCACAGCCCCAAACCATTGAACTGAAGCTGTTATTGAGGCACCTCGCGTTTCATTTCTCCATAGCTGGGCTGGCAGCCTGGGCAGTCCCTCTGCTCCGTGTTTTGTTCCAAGAAGGAGACTGCTTTGCCTGCTCAGCTCTAAGAAATGCTGAGAAGTTGCTCAGGTCATTTCTGCACCTCCTTGTGCTGGTTTTCCTTGTGTCAGGCAGAACCGCAGCGGGGCCGAGCGCTCCCCTGGCACGAGGCAAATGCCCCGTCCTCCTGCCAGCCCCCCACGTGCCGAAAGCTGGCTGCGTGGCTCAGCATGCTGGGGCTCAGCCGAAGTGCCAGCTCCTTGTCACACTCCCGGCCCCAGCCAAATAACTCCCCTGTGGCACGGCAGGGTGTCAGACGGAGCTGACAAGCAGCTAACCTGCTCTGTGCGTGCAAAGCCCCAACCGGATTTAGAGTACGGCAAAAATAGATTCACCTTCGTTTTACAGTTCTCTACGAGCATCTCTTTTGTGTTGGTTTTTTTTTCCAGTAAACAAAAGGAAAGCCTTGCTTCCAAGCAGTAATTGAAAGATATTGCATTTCTGCTGGCAGCACAGCCACATTAGAAGCAGTTATTTTATCAATAATCTTTTATTTAACAATCAAGGAGATTTGAGCATTTATTTCACCCTGAGGCTGCCAGCCTTTCTGAAGGGAAATGGTGCTTTAGTGTGAATTATTCCACATCCCCTGCCTGAGTCGTGAACAGGCTTTGTCCTTGCTCTGCCAGCCCGAATCCTATGAGCTCGTGCGCAGCTCTGGCTGCCCCAGGCAGAAGACGAGTCTCCCCGCTGGGTCGGAGTCGTGCAGCCATCGATGCTCTTCGGAGGTGTGAGATTTTAAAATGAGATGCTCTGCTGGGTGCGCTCTGTGTGCCCTCCAGCCCTGGGCATGCCGAGTGGCTCCCTGGGCTGCAGGGCTGCCCACCAGGCTTGCAGCAACCCACCCTGGGGCTGGATCCCCTGCTTTCCCTGCGGATGCCGAGCGAGACACGGCTTCAGTTGCTATGATAACTGTGTGTTTATTGCAGCTTTGTTATAAATGCAATGTTTTGGAACACAGATGCGCTGTCTGTTAGGATATGGGTGGGTTCTTTTAACTGTATTTTTGTATTTGTGCATATATTTTTAGAAGCTTTTCGAATGTTTCATATGGGGATGGGAATGATGAGTGTAGCAAGATACTTGGTTGTCTTAGCACACTTCTGTTCCCACAAATGAAGTTTGCAAGGAAGACTGAAAGGGATTTTAGAGGCACCTCCCTGGAATAAGACACAAAACCCCATAAACAGACAAACCTGTGAGCCAATACTGAGGGGTCTGACTTTATCCGGACACCCAGACATTTGGGGTTCTCTGGCATCTGCTGCAGCGGGTGCAGGAGGAAGGAGCCAGGCAGCCCTGCAGTGGGTGAGCTCCCCCAGACGCATCACACCAGCCCCGGGTTTCTCCCCGCCGGCCCGTGGCAGCTGGTCAGGGCGATTGCTCTGCGGGAACCGGGGGGCGGAACGGCCGCATCGGGAGCCAGGGGCTGCCGCGGCGTTCCCCGGGAGCAGAGGCGTTCACCCAGACTGTGTGTACTCTTAACAGCGCTTAAATAAAACATCGCAGGAGAGCTGTGATCGCAGAGCCCAGCCGTGCTTGTTGAGCGGCTGGCGGAGAGCATCAATAGTTAATAGAAAGCCACTTACGGCTCTGCTCCTGTTAAATCCCCCATCAATGGTAAATACCGCATGAATTATTAACTTAACATTACTTAAGTCATAGTCTGCACCTAACAATTTTTTAAAATTTATTTAAATAAACAGTTGTGAGGTTGTGGACTTGCCACACACTGTCAGGGTTTAAGCGATGCATTGAAGGGACAAATTCATTGTACAGATTGGGTTAGAAATCCCGTCTTGTTTCCTGGGGTCCTAAGAGCTGGTGCCTGTATATAAGGTATTTTATTCTCACAGCTTGTATTTATCAGTGGTATTTATCAGTCGTATTTATCATTTTATCAGCGCCTGAAAATCCTGTCCCACCATCCCCGTACCTTCAGTCAGGCTCAGGACAGCTGTCTTCACCCCTCCCTCATTTTGGACCTGGCTTTGGGCAGTTGGGAGGCAGACTCATGCCATTCACAGGCAGCAGGGAAAATCCAGCAAGAAGCAGGGATGGGAGCTGGAGAGCTGGCTGCCAGGCAGATGGCTCTGCCTTATGAATTTTGTAAGAAGAATGGGTTTTGAACGCTTTCCAAGCCCGGTGCCATCGCAGCGAGGGAGGCATGTTTTCTAATGGCGGGGGTAGTACTTGGCCCTGGTTGTCTCTGTCTTTGCTCCGGTTGCATGTACTGAATATCCTCCATGGAGCTGTAGCTCCTCTTTTGATAAAATCTGGATCCCAGCCTGCAACAGCTCCTCGTTTCTCAGCTGCTGTGCTGACACCCAGAGCTTGAAAGGCTAGACCCAGCTGCCTGGTCTCCTTGGGCCACAGCAGAAACTGAGTCATAGCGAGAAGTGAGAGATGGATTTTCAACTTAGAGTCAATCCTGGGGAGCTTAAAAACAAGCCCTGGTCTCTTTGCTCATCGTGTGTGCACAGGTGCTCGTGCTTGTCCTGATACAAGCGTCCCCTGGTGAAGCTGCATGGTGCGGTGCAGGGAAGGATGGAACAGGGGCTGTGGGGCAGGGGTGTGTGGGGCGATGAGCTGCCGTCACTGTGGCTGGGGCCAGCCACCGGCTGGGATTTCCCTCCAGACACTGCTGTTAGGGCAGGATGGTGCTGGGTGCTGGGCACAGCTCCTGGCTTCAGTGCTCTGGAGATGATGCTGGAGATGGGCAGATGGTCCATTATGAGCATCGGGGAGACAAGGGTATGTTTGCAAGAGGCCTTGTCTCAGCTGCTTTGGGTGTCCACAGCCACCACTGGAAGCCCTGGGCAGGGGCAGGGACGCTGCTTGAGGACCCTGTCCCACGTCTTGCCTTGATGGGTCTGTTTTCACAGAGCTTCTGGCAGAGCATCTCCCTCCTTGCCTGCGGGTTTGCTGCAGCAGAGGGGGGAGATGTGAACTGCTAACAAGCCAGGATGGACTAATTCCACCTTTTAGAGAGTAATTCTTCCAGGAGGTGCCAAGCAATAGCTAAAAAGCTTAAAGAAGCTCATGTTTCTGTAAAGGGGTACCTACGGCTGTGCTGCCGATGACTGAGCTGCCTCTACAGCTTGGATTTCATGGGAGAAAGCAAGCGGCTGCTAGAGGCTGGGATGGGAGCTCAGCCACGGGCAGGAGCCCTGTCCTGGAGAGCTGGGGCACCTTGCTGAGAAGCCCAGGGAAAAGCAGGAGCTGATCCTGCTGGGATGAAGCCCCAGCTGGAAGAGGCGTGTGCCGCGGAGATGGCCAGACTCTGAGTCTCCTCCAGGCACCCTGGACCGACAGACAGCTCTGCTAAATGCCCCCGAGCCCTCGCCACTGGGGGATGCCATGGGGGGCTTGCAAGCACTATCTTAAAATCAGGTTTCTTTAATGAAGCTGTGAAATTCATCAGCATAATAATTAACTATTTTTGCTGAAAACTGAAGTACAGGTGTGAAGATATTCTTCACACTTTTTTTTTTTTAAAAGGTGAGAGTCACAGTGTAAATAACCTTTTTTTTTTTTTTCTGGTTCCTATGATAGCAGATCTCCTTTGTAATGCAGCCCTGTTATCGCTACGCAATCCAGCATGCTGTAGCACATTACAGCCTGATCTCTATGATTTTTTTTTTTTTTCATTTACAAGCTTTAAAGATTTTTCTGGTGCTTTCAGTGAACTTGAGAAGCGAAGTGGGAGCTGTTTGTGCCTCCAGCTGGGAAAGCTGCGCTCCCGCCCAGGCAAACCTACAGATCCCAGCAGGGTCCCAGCCAAACCCTCTGATGTCTCCGCAGCCCTCGACCCCAGCACCACCTGCGCCTGGGTCTTTCCGAGCTGCTCTTTTCTTTAAAAGCTAATGACTTTGACTAAGAGTAACGACAATTATCATCAAAGGGAGCCAGTCCTTAGAGGTGAGGTTGGGTGATGGAGGAGCCATGAGTGAAAACTTGACCATATGCGCTAATTAGGCCTGTTGTACAGCAGACGTGTGATTTCTGGTTTGCCATTAAAGAGGTAAATTCTTGAGGAAATCATCAGCACTTCTCACTGCTCATACCAATTACCGGTAACGCCGGTGTTTGCGAGTGCAGAAAGAGCCACTCGCCCCGTCTCACTCGAGACTTCAACCACGGAAATTTTGTCACTTCAAACTTTCTGAAAACCTGCGAGTTAATTACTTAATTAAAAATAATATTGATTGATGAATACTGCAGGTGTACACTAAATTATTCAAATAGAAGCAGTCCAAATTGGACTAATTAGATTACACTTCAGGTGGATGGGAGCTTGCAAAGGTTATGTTGTGACAGCAGAACCACAAACAAAAATAAAAGGTGGCGACGAAGACGCGGTGCTGGATGCTCTGCGGTGCCTGCCTTGGCATCCTTTATAGTCCCATAAATTATTTCACTAGTGTTTTTGCTTAGCTCTTTTTAACTTATCTTCAAATGCTTCTGAGACAAAATTAGATGAAAAAGAAGTTCTTAACAAAAAGAGGTTTTAGAA